ACACCAAGAAAAGTTAAATACAGGCAGCATATCAAGTCCATAACTGCCGAAAACAAATATTTACGACAAAGGGTTGAGGTACTTGAAAAAAATAAAGAATTGGACAACATATCTTTGGAGCAATATATGTCCCTAACATATAAATTTTGCAATCCAGACATTGCAAAATGTGTTAATATGCAAGTATCACAAGGGCATAAACATCCAAAGGGAAGACGTTACAGCAAAGAATTTAAAATTGAATGCCTATCAATATATTTTGCTGGTCCCAGAGTTTATAAAAAATATTTAATGTCTAAATATAGCCTTCCCTCGCCTAACACTTTGCTAAAAGAAATCAGAGCAGTTAAGATAGGACCAGGATTAGATAATCCCGAGTTCTTCATTTTATTAAAAAAAAAAGTTGACAGTTTCCAGTCTCAAAGCAAATATTGTTTATTGTGCTTCGATGAAATGTCAATAAAAGCAAATTTATTTTATGAACGAAATCAAGATGACATCATAGGGCTAGCAATGGGCGATACAGGGGAAAAGATTTTTAAACCAACTTTAACTGTCAGTGTACTTATGGTAAGGGGAATTTATTCGAAATGGAAACAGCCGATAGCCTACTTTTTATGTCATACTTCTTGTTCTGCTAATCTATTACATAAACTATTAAATGAAGCTGTGCAAAAAACAACAAATGTGGGGTTAAATGTTTGTGCAGTTACTTGTGATATGGGGTCCAACAATATCAAATTGTCAAATATTTTAAAGATATCTCCAGACAATACTGGTTTTTATTTAGAAAACCGGTATCTCTTTTTCATCTTTGATGTGCCACATATTATTAAAGCGATGAGAAATATGTTAATGAAATATGACTTTTTTCTACACCCGTATTATAATAATGCACTTATATGCCCATAATCCGTTTCATAATGATACCCATTATGATACAGATTTTTCATTACGATACAGATTTTTAATCAATAGAAACCTACAATTTTTCAATCAAGCATGCTGTTTGACGTTTGTCCTAGGTTCCTATGTAATTATTTTAGTTGTCAAAACGTATTAAATTTTCGTAGGTAGCTAAACTTCGATAATTATAATATTAAAATGTCTGATATTAGCGATATAGAAGACTCCTCCACACATATCGGAGAAAGCAGAAAATACAGTACAAAATATTTTACCGCAAAAATCTAGGGAAATACCAATACCTGAAGTAATACCATTAATTACAATTTTGTAGAATTTTTTATAGAAATACGAGTAATTACTGTTATTGTGTTCAATACCAATATAAATATAATATTTATAGGTCTTGATTATTTATCGGGTGTAGAAAAAATAGCGTATGCAACTCTCATGTAATCCCAGCTAGCACAAAAACATCCCATCTACGTTAATAAGCTGCAATTTTAGGCTCTTTAAGCTCGCATGCAATGTACTGTTAATGTAACCCTATCATCCCTGCAACCACCGAATGTCCGCAACGGCAAGACTTTTATAGCACATCTCACAGAAGTTAAAAAGTGAAGTTCGGAAAACATCACACTAGCACTTTTACGGTACTTACCCTGAAAGTTGCTCTGAAACTTTCTATAGATGTTATAATGTGAATTCATTCTACAGCATTATACAGTGTGTCCACGGATGGACTTAACAATACTTGTAAAAATATTTATTTTAAATTTAAAAGTACTTCTTCATAATTTCTTTTGCTTGTTAAATAAATACGATTAACGTTGAGAAATTATGAAAAAGACCTTTTGAAAAATTTAAAATAAATATCTTTACAAGTATAGTTATGACCATCCTTGGATACACTATATTCAAAATAGTATATTGAGGATATAGTAAAATCTGAAGAAAACAAAATAAAAAATTGTATAAATTTATTATTAAAAAGCTTTTGAAATCAAGAACCAATATCATACAAGTAGAGGTAGGTATTAATAATATAGGTAAAAAAACACTGACAAATTGGACAAAAGTTGGTATAAAGGGTATATAAGGAATATCTCATAAAGGGTATATAAGGAATATCTCAAAGGTTCACTAGAAAAGAAAACACTGAACGCTTGCACGAAAGAGTATAATAAGGTACCTATATTGCAAAGGTTCACTGGTAGCTAAAATGGTGCACGATTGTACAAAAGTAGTAAAAAAGTGTATTTATATAAGGTATATTTCAAAAGTTACTAGATTTTTATTAAGATGGCAGTTGTAGGATGCTAAAAAAAGATATTTGCCTACAACTGGTACTAATCATAGTTTTAATATGATATAAACTGAATATTGATAAATGTAAAGTCATAAGGTTTAATAAAACAGCTAATATCATTATGCATGATTGTCATTGCAGGTTCTGAACTAAGTTTTGAGCAAACTATAAATGATCTTAATGTTATTTTTGAGAGGGACCTATAAGAGTTTGGAATGCAGATGTCGAGAAGCATCATTTGTTTTCCTGTATAAGTTATTGAACGGTTTGATTGATAGTGACAGCCTCTGGTACACTTTATTAGATTCCTTGTTCCTGCCAGACTTACTAGGCATATGAAACTATTTTATGTAAATGCTCATATAACTAACTATGGACAGAATTTATTTGTAGACCAACTGATGTCCAATTACAATAAGTATTTTTCAAATTATGACATTTTAAAAGGTTTATTTTTTAAAGTGTCAACTTTTATTACACTATTGACTTCATTTTTATACTGTGACAATTTTATTAATTTCTTTTTTATTTTATTTTGATATTTTAACCATTTAGAACTTTATATATCAGTAGCGTACTGTAAACAAATAAATATGTGAACTTAATTACATAGTTTCTTCCGTAAAAATAACTTTGTAGATAATAAATTTACTTGTTTAATTATTATTAAGAAAATAATATATATATAAAGAAAATAAAAAATATGCTCGTTTAAATCGTTGCACCTATTTTTAGTTGATTTTTACTTACTTTGTTTTTTTAAATAAATAATAACATTTATTTTGACTTTTACAAATTTTATACTTAATAATGGATGTTCAACTTATACAGAACAATGTTTTTTAGCATGATATTCTGCTATGAAAGAAAAAGAAATAATCTCAGATGTTATATATTCTTCTTCAACCAATTCTGTATTAACTTTAGCTTCTAAAATTCCTGAGATTTTTACTAGAATTATAATCCAGCACAAAGGAAACCTAAAACACAATATTTTTAAAATTTATTTTTAGTGATTAAAATATTACACTAGGGCGACCATACTTACAGCAATTTTTCTGTATTGTAAAGCATTTTTAAAGTTTGTCCAGCAATTCGTATTGTGCAGCAAACCTACAGCAAAATGGCATAGGTATATATATCCAGTGAAATGCTGTATTTATCCACCAAAACGTCACTACTGTCCAGCAATGGTAATACTTAATTTACTGAAACGTAACAAATTTAAATGTTATTTATCTTTAGTGAACTACATGAGCACTTCTATACTGCTGTTCTAGCAAGAAAGGTTTTATCTGCAAAATTAGCAGTTTTTTTATGTGCATTTGTCTACATTTTATCTTTCTCGATACTGAAAAGGAATGTCTTATTTGTAACAAAGGTACTAAAATGTTAAAAAGTTACACAAAAAAAGGTTTAAAAGATAATAAATATAAATTTTCAGATAGGACTTCTCTTGTTAGGATGGCAGTATATGACTTCTCTGTTTTTGTATTTTTATAATTGGGAGTAGGGTTGAGTATCGGTCAAAGGTATCAATACCGGTATCATGTGAGATACTTTGTGGTAGAGGCATCGATACTGTTCGATATTATGTTAAAGATATTGATATTTATAAGTCTCGAGTAACAAAGTATCGAAAAAGTAAAAGATTTTTGTTAAACGGCTGGCAACCCCCATTCAACAGGACGGAGTAGGGAACTTAACTAATAACAAGAGTGCATCAGTAAAGTATATTCTGTAGTCGACACCTTTTCTTTCTCTACTGGTACTCTACCTGGTACAAGTTATAGTGTCAATAACTGGCAATTTACCTTATAATTAAATAACAAAAAAACAGTGGTAACGCTTAATCATATTACCAAGTTTCACCACATGCAAAAACTAAAATATTTCAGTACAAATATTTGAACAAACCTTATAATCTCTGACCACACACATAGCGATACAATACTTGCTTCTAAGTATCACTATGGCGATAGTATTGGTAATTCAGTATCAGTGCCTAAATATCGATACTTTCATTGTTTAATATCGTTACTTCTATAGTATTAAGGCATCAATAAGATCCCTATTATCGTGTAAAATAAATATTTCATCATTTAATTGTATCTACTTGTTTACAATGATTTATTTTTTATTGTATTTGGAAATTGAAATTTTACCATCTAAAACAACAGACAATATAAATTAGAAAATTTATTGAAAAGAAGAAAACAACTTACCAAACTTATTCAAACGTATAGTTTCCAACATGGAGGAAGGATTATTAGTTTCCAATTTCTTTAAAATCTGAAATACGTACAAGAAAAAGTGACAAGTGACATTTTTTTATGTTTTGTTGGTTATGACAAACGAATGGCTACGTTCGAAAGTCCACAGTACTTCTCGTGGAAACTTTTTTAGCAAGTTACTTAGGGCCGTATGCACCGTTCTTGATGTAATCGTAGATTCCGTAATCTGGATTAAGCAAATCGATTATGTTTGGTATGCACCATTTTGGTATTAATCACGATTAGCTAATCGGATTGTAAATCTGGCAACGTTGAAAATTTTTTCTTTTCTACTTTATGTGTCAAATAAATTTAAAAAACGTAGAATAGCTGGATGTCAGTAGCAGATAAGTTAACAATAATTTGGAAGAGAAAACGTGTTTTTGTGTTTTCTAACCTAACTTTTTTCTCTCTAATAAGTTAGCGAGTTAGCGTGGTTTTTGATTTTAGTCTTTGGTTTATTAGTTTTTGGTTTATTTGTTTTTTGGCAAATTTTAATTTTTCATTCAAAAATGGGCGACGGAAAGAAAAGAGAGCCAAATTTCACCCCAGATGAAAAAACACATCTGTTTAATATTATTTTTAATGGATATGGAAAAAAGTTGGAGGACAAAAGGACAGATCGCGTTTCCGTCACGGAAAAAAAACAGTTGTGGGGAAGAATTCAAGAAGAATTCAATTCGACTTCTCCAAATACAACTTTTAGAAGTTGGGAGTCATTAAAATTACTATATGAAAATAAAAAAAAGGACCTAAGAAGAAAAATGGCAGAAGAAAAAAAACAGAGGTTTATGACTGGCGGTGGTACAGTATCGCCAGTAAAACTTGATTCCGTTGAAGAAATTTTATTGTCGGTAATGAATGAAAAAACTATTTTTGGTCTATCACAGGATTTTGATTCAGACGCCATAAACACAAATCACAGTTTTGCAGAGGATAATTCTGAATTAAATGAAGTAAGGACCTAATTTAGATTAGATTATGAATTAAAATATGTTTTAATAAAACAGATTTGTTTCACTGAAGCTTTTTTTTGCAGTATAATACCAATCCAAACAGACAAGAAGAGAATTGGCGAGGTAAGCGCAAAGCTGTGGAAATAAAAGAAAATTGGAAGAAATATAAGTGTTCAGATTTGAAATTACCAGTTACCCCAGAATTATGCTGTACCCAAAATGTATGTATAATAATATCCTTCTAATTTACCTTGACAAAAATTATAGCTCAAATTAAAAAAAAAACGCCCATTGTAGATTAAATTAGTTCTGCAGTTGAATTTTACAATCCTGTAGTGTTACCTTTACATAAAAAAATGGGTCAATTAATACATTGCTTTTTACAGGAAGCTACAACATCAAAAGTTTCGCAATATACCACATGCACACCATCAAGTAGATGGCCCACAATCAGTGAAGTAAGTACATCATTTTATTTATATGTATATGAAGCAAAAATACCTTTGATGAAACTGATAGTTGAATCACTAAAAAATCTGCAATTTTTTTTTAAGTTTGATACCAATGAAGAACCTGACATAAGCACTCATACAGAGCTCTTGCAGATGCTAGGTACCAAAAAAACAACGGAGGGTGAACTAAGCTCTACCCAAAATGTAAGCATAACATTGTTACAATAAGCAGTAAGATAAATATCATTGGTGAAAGTGTAAAACCTAGTCTATGTATTTTACATAATTTTAGACGATTTAGAAAAAACTATCACTTTTGGATTTTTATTTGTTCCATTTCAATTTTTTAAATAGTTGCATATTGATACATATGAGACAATAAAACAATAAAACACTTACATAGACGATATGCTGCTCTTTTAAATAATGTATAAAAAAAATTGAAAATATGCAACATTTACTTTTTATAGGAAGCATGTACACCGTCGGGATCAAAAACACAAGCCACGGTGTCGGCCACACTTTCAAGTAGAAGACGGCCCACAAAGACGGTTACAACGTTAACATCTTCGGACTTGTCTGCCAAATATAATTTATTATTGGACAGGAGGCTGGTATTGGCAAATAAACAAATACAAGCTATTGACAGTGAGCAAGACTTTTTAAAAATTGAGAGGAGTCTTAAAATTGACTTATTAAAAAGTCAAATTATGAATGAAAAAAAGAAAAATTAGTGTTTTTTCTCTTTTTTTTCACCATTTTTTATTTTCTTTATTAATTTTAAGTTCTAAATGAAGTGTTTAAACACTTTCATGTAGTTATAATTTTTTGTATATTTTATTTTATAGGTATTTTAAGCTATTGTATGATTATTTGTACATTAATTTATTTTAATGCTAACCTCATGAAAATTGAAAGAAATTTTAAAATTGACTCATTAAAAAGTCAAATTACCAATGAGAAAAACAAAAATTTGCGTTATAGTAATAATAATAGCTATCCCTTCCCTGTAAAGCTCAGTCAGTTAAAATTCACTCGTAAAAGGGTGAATTATAGGAGAGTAATATTTTTATTATTATTTAAATTATAAAATAAAGTTTTATTTTATTTAAATCTGAGTTTCATTGTAAAATAGCAAAACAATTTTCTGGTTTTTAGTATATATTATTTAAAGAGATCAATAAGAAAGTCCAATAATAAAAATCAATTGTTTATTTTTACAAATTAGGGTAATAATTATTAATTAGATTTTGGCGAACACTTCCACCTGCCCTATTAATTGCTATATGTGGTATTATAGGTGCATCTGGAATATCTCCTTGCATTATTAAATAATTGAGCTCTTCCAAATTTATTTCATCGGGAAGAGGTGGCTCATCTTCGTTCATATCAACTGCTATATTTTGTAATACAGCAGTAGCCACTATCATGGTTAGAGTTGTATTTAATTTACATCTAGTTCCATATGCCAATACAGGAAATCTTCGCTTCCATACTCCTATTGTTCTTTCAACAACATTTCTTGTCCTTATATGTGATTCGTTATATAAATTTTCTGCTCTTGTATTTGGATTTGCAAGAGGTGTTAGTAAATAGGGTTTAACCTGATAACCACTATCACCTGAAACGAAGGATAGTGAAATGTCAAACTAGGATACTACTCATATCTAATACAAGTTCAGTGAATTGTGTAAAATACTAAAATTGGATAGATACTAGAATGTTAAATAGTTGTTTTTAAATATAAATTACCTAAGAGAGTTGTATTCTGAAATTCTCCTTGTTCAAAGCGAGCTCTAATGCTGCTATTATTTAAAACGGTAGAATCATGAGCCGAGCCTGGCCATCTTGCTGTAATATCCATTATTTTTAAATTGGGACTAGCAACCAACTGGGTATTTATAGAGAAATAGGATTTTCTATTTCGAAATACCTCTGCATCATTTCCACCTAAAAATTTGTATATTATGAAGTACTTAACAATGAGCATATCTGTATAATAAATTTAAAACAATACACTTTATGAGCGTATTTATATTAAAACTTACCTGGAGATAGAATTTTTATATGAGTTCCATCAAGGCATCCAACAACGCGTGGAAACCTAGCTATTCGATGGAATTCATGTTCTATTCGAGTTCGTTCAGCCCCTATTGCAGCCATTTTAATGAATCTGTTGGATAAACCAGCAATTATTCGGGTAACTTTTGTTATTATACGTGATGCTGTTGTTTGGTGTATATTTATAAAATCGCCAATGCAATTTTGATGAGAATTGCTTGCATAGAACCTCAAAGCCGTTAACAATTGATTTATGGGAGAAACGCTATTATTCCTAAAAAAGAAAATGGTTTTGGTGTTTACCTTGTGAAAGCAGTGTTGCTCCAATTTAATTGTATGCTTACAAATTATTATCGAACTCCAGCTGATCTTCAATTTGTTCCAAGAGCCATAATACTGTGTCTTTTTTTAGACGAAATCTTCTAAAAAACGACATTTCGTCCATTTCGGTAAAAAAATCGGTTCGTTGATAAAATCTTCTAGGTAAACCGAATTCGATTATATCCAGAATATCAGCATCATCATCTAACATAATTTCATCTTCTATGTCCATAACTTTATTCTTTAACTTTTTTACGCGTAAATCGTGAATCAATTAAAATTATAAAAGTGGGGTTATAAATGAGACAACTCGGATTAAATGGTCAAATATCTAGGATTACATTTAAACGCGATTAAGTACTAAAAATCAAGCGGTGCATAACAAGTTTTACATATAATCGAGATCAAGGGATAATCGCGATTAGTACACGTCGGTGCATACGGGTCTTAATTACGTTGTGTTATCATAACAGGCAGGTTAAATACGTAAGTAACAAATAGATGTTTAGCGAGGTTTTGATTTCCCTCAACAACTTCTCATTAACGTTGCAATTACGTTGTATGGGTATGTTATTATGTTCCCTTAAAACAACATCGCCGAAAGGCTTGGTAACGTTATGTGCTAGCTGGGATGGTTATTACATGATCGTTGCATAATATACTATTATGTTAATTCAAACTCATTTCAATTAGAGTTTTTAATGGATTGCTTGTCCTTTTTTAAAAGTCTTGAAATAATATAAACGTTGCCAACAAAATAAAATTTATTAAAAGCTTAATAATTTCAATCAACAGTATTATTCAATTATTTTACTATCTTCGAGAAAATGCTGGGTTTGAGTATATACTTACACGAAGATTAAACCAAGACTGCCTGGAGAATCATTTCGGTAAAATAAGAAGTGAAAACGGTAACTGCATTAACCCCACAGCCATACAGTTCCATAGAACATTTAGAAAGTTGCAATGCGTCAACTTGCTTAACTCAGGTACAGAAAACTGTGAGGCTGATTCTGATCAGATGCTCTTAAGACTTTCTGACTGCCAACAGGATTTTGTACCTGAGGATAAGGATAAAGTATCGGAACAAAGAGACGCACTAAATAGCATGGACTATTCAAATAATGAAATGCTGCAAAAAAATTTCATACGGTACGTGTGTGGGTACCTTTTAAATAAAGCTTTAAGAGTTAACACTTGTGATATATGCAATAAATATAGTAAAGACCATGATGAACTAGATGATTCATCTTATTACTGTTTCCTTAAGGCATATGAAAATGCAAATACACCTTCGGAAATTTGCAAATGCCTAATAATAAATTTGTGGAATTAATTTGTAAAATAGAACAAATATTTCAAGAAAACTTTGAAAAATTTGCTACTAAAAGGAATATTTGCCAAATGCTTTTAGATATAAGTAACCATTTAGCTTTTAACCATCCCTGTAAATATTTCCCCAAAGAATTTGTAGTTAGATTATATTTAAGAGTTAGAATATATTACACATTGAAAACGATAAATGGTAATTTTAGAAATGTAAATAGAAATAAACTTATAATATGGAGAAATTTGTAATGATATAGTACAAAATGTATTATAATTTGTTATTATATATACGTTATATATACGTAGGTATAACGGTATAAGTAAATTTTTAATTTGATTTTTTTTAATTATTTAGTAATAAAACCTATTTAAAACCTAAGCTACACAACTTTATTTTATTACCATTTTTGTCTTTTCCCTAAACATCACCGTGCGACTGTCAAAAGCAATAATGTCTAAGGTTCTTTTTCAGTTAGGCCAAATAAGATTTTTGCATCCGAATTTAATTATTTGACATACTCACAATTTGAAAATTTTAAGCCGTAAATGCCAAATTGCAAGTTTGTCGAATATTAAAATTCGGATGCAAAGAGCCGAATTTCGCAAAGCTGAGAAAGGACGTTAACAATGACATAGCGTTCAGGAGGAAAACCTAAAAATAAATCATAATCTTGAACAACCAACATCAACGACTATTATAAATCACTATTTTTTTCGTAAGATAACAAACACCCCATTATCGTAATTATTCTGACAATTTTATAAATCGCCCTTTTTCAGGGGGGCCAAAGTTGCGTTTTCCCACTATTTTGGACCACTTTATTAATTCATACATATTTTTTTTCCTTTAATAGTTTTTTATCCCATTTTTGTTTTAAATGGGATCTTGAGATGTCTCGAATGATCTCAGAAATTTTTTTCCAGTATCTTCCTGGCGTTTTAAAACAAAATTGATTTGTTTATTTGCATTTTTCATACGTTTTCGGAGTTCTAGAAATCTTTGAAACAAGCATAGTAATTAAAAACTCATATTTCATTATATTGTTATTCAATGCGCACCATTTTAAAGCTTAGAGTGTCAAAAATCTTGTCAACGCCGGCAGCAAGCCGAAATTTAAGTTAAAGCATTTATGCGATTTGATTTAAAAAGTTGTAACATGTAATCAATTAATAATTTATGTAACCAAGTATTAATATGTAAAATGTGGAATCAGTAAGCCGTGAATATATCAAATTCAAATATAAGATGATTTGAATAAAATCAGTGCATCAACCAGAACTTCGAGAGTATCTTCCAGAGGCTACAGGGTGGAGCATAAGGCCTTCACCCCAGGTAACATATTTCGAACATAGTCATACAGTCCACCATGATCGAAGGCAGTAAATGTCAAGCCTTATAAACCCAGGGTAAGACATCCATCATAACCTAACCACGTGTACAGACGCGCCACTCGCTCACCTTAATCGTCTGATTTTGTTGGTATACAATATCTCTGTTGTTTTTGGAGTCGTGTTATTGTCGGTATTATTGATAGTATTTTAGAAAAATATTGATAGTATTTTATCATTATCAATTAAGTTGTTAAAAAAAAGAAGTTTTTAAAGTGAAAAATTCTTGAATTTTCAAGAATTTGTTTTTCGTTTGTGGGGAACAGAAAAGGTTTGGTTGATTTAAAATAAAATCTATAAATTTGTTGTAATTCTTATTACATTTCAATAATATATTTTTGTAAAGCTCTTGTTGCAGCAATGGAAGCGGACTCCGTTCCAAAATGTTTCCTTTGTGCCCAGGAAGTTGTGGATGACGTTGCAAATGTCACTCGAGGCTTAGAAAAATCCCGTAGAATCCGCCAATTGGTCTCCAAAGTCCAAAACATGAAAATCAAATCAATGTATTCCCAACTCCCTCGAGCGGAAATTCAGTGAGAAACTAACATTTCTATTCAGTGCAAAAATTCGGGCTTTTTCGAAGGCCGTTTTTGCAAAAAATATTCGTCTTGCAAAAAAAAAATGCTGGGGACCATTTTTGTAGACAATGATACGATCTTCATTTTTTATCTAAACAAAAATTGTCTAATTTGTATATTTTTGCAGATATTAGCGGGAAACCATTTTTTCGTACTTTAGGGGCCATTTTGAGCCCTTTCCGACCCAGCAGTGTTGGTAAAAGTTTTCGCCCTTGAAAGCAACCGTCAAGACCTAAGAATTGAGCCACAAAGGAAATCTGGACCGACTTAATGACAGCTTTGCATATTTTAAGGTCTTCAGTTACTGGACTACATGAAATACACTGATTACTTTGGAGATGCAAGGACTTTTTTTAGCTCCGATTTACAAAAAGTCTTCCCTTAATGTTGTATTTTTATCTTTGGGGAACTAAAAAAAAAAAAACAAAGGTAGGTACTTGCCTAGGATTGTTAGCTTTTAATTTCCCAAAACCCGGACCTTTGTTTCTTAAATTTCTAAAAAAAAAGGTTCTCTATAATTTTAAAAGGGACCCTCTGTCGATATCCAAATATTCCCGGACATTTTCAAAATCCGACCGGACTCCGGACAAATTGTTCAAAACCCGGACAGTTCGGATGAAACCCGTACAGAAGTGCCATCCCTATACTTGCCTTTCCAAAATTCATATCAATGTTGTGTTTCATGTTGAGCGCCCAGCATTGGGTTTCAGTAAATTATGGATATTGTTAGACGCTAGAAAATAAAATACAGAGTTTTGTTGGACAAATAAGGCGTTTTGCTGTACATTTGATGTACAACATCCACTTTTAAAATGCTGTACACGGTGAAATGATGTAGGTGTCACCCTAGCCTACAACTTATATTTCTTTAAGTCTGTCAAAGGCAATAAATAGCCTCATTATCTACATGTTCCAGCCAACTCATATTATAATAATAATTGTATTGCAAAGTATAAAAAAATAATCATAAAAAGTCAAATGGGTTTCTTATATTTGATTTATTTTTAAGTAATTTTTGCATATATTATTCAAACACAAAAGAAGCGTTCTGCAACCAATTTTCTCTCCAGCGTAATTTTTGGAATGTTTTTAATTCAGACTTAAATTTTTCTGCAGTCTCCTTTTGAAACTTGTCATTTGGGAAATTTTGGAACCAATTTAACAATAACTGAGTTAACTCTTCAGTTGTACTGAATTTGTATCCATTTTTTCCATCCTGAACTAATTCATCCAGACTGAAAAAGAAAACAAGTATTCATTAAATATATATATTTTAAATGGGTTTGATAGTAAAGCAGTTTGTAATCATAATGTGCATTTCTCACCATTTAAAATCATAGGCACAAACTGGTAAGGCACAACCAAACATATCCACAACTTTCATTGGTAAATCTAAACCACTGGAACTTGTATGAAGGCAAACACCCAAATCAGCAGAGGCTAGCATGAGAGGGTAATCACCAGACTCCAACCAGGGTGTTAGAACTATCACATGTTTCCAATTTTGTTCTTTAATCTTTTGATAATAATAATCTTTCAAATGTCCTTTTCCAGTTATGCAACAAATCAAAAGAGGCAATTGTTTTATATTACCCTCAACAATATGATTCTCATATTCTAAAAAATAATTATATTTAAACAAAACAAAAATGATAATAATAATACTCTCCCTAATTCACCCCCTTACGAGTGAATTTCAACCCCTGAAGTCGACTGAACGACTTGTGTAGGGGAAGGGACGGCTATTATTATTATTTGCCGTGGCGCTCCGGGGCGACTTAAGGATGATTGATGGTGCCATTTGACTTACAGGTGAGGAAAACCTCACCCACCATCATAAATTGAATTATCATAAAATGCATAAAGAATCAAAAATAGAAACATTAGGTATTTACCTCGCAAGGCAGAAAATAAAATAGAAAAATCTTCATCTTCTGTCCAACTTGTACTGGAAACTAATAAGCCAGGTCTATTGGATTTATGTTCAACTTTATTATCTGTCTCTTTAGTAAATAGTGAGGTACAATCATTAGAAAGTAACTGAGAATAAGTACTTCCTAATTTTGTCAAAAATTTATGTTTTTCTTCCAAGCTTATTGGCTTAAAAATTGTTGGTGGTTTATCATATAAAGTTGTAGCACTAAAAAAAATTATTACAACACAAAATATAATTTTACAATTATCTATAAGGTGGCAAGCTGTAAGTTACATTTAATGTTATAAATTTGTATTTTCTAAAATACTTAATATTTTTACAATTCAAAATTATTGTGACATTTTAGCTCTGAATTGATCAGTCCCAACTGTTTATAAATGTAGATAATATATTCAACATTACCTGATGCCCCAGTTTTTATACAAATCATTTTTCATTGCATTGGTAACACAAAAATTATGACTTGCCCTTTTACCAGCAAAAAATTCAACTTGTTTTGTAATAGTAGTCAATATATTTCCATTGGACAGACTTAAAGCCATTATTGAACAAGCATAGTTATGCCAGTCTATTACAAATTTACACCTTGAAATAATAGAAAATAACCAACATATAACTAAAGCAGGAATTGCTGGAGGATTTTGAACAATAAGAATATCAGGTTTTCTTGCAATTACAAGTAGAAAAATTAAGTTTAGTGCTTGCCAAATTGTTTTAAATACATAATTAATTAGCCTTTGTGGAATTGTTGGTGGAGCCACTAAATAATGGTAGTAAATCGAAGGAGATTTTTTAATTTCGTGCATGGGCTCAGTTTCTCCATAACCAATTACATCTACTGTATGTCCCAATTCAGCAAGAGATAATGAATGATACTGCATTCGAGGACTTCTTCCTATGTCCCCTAAAACCACAATACATACGTTCTTAGTCTTTCCTTTCCTCATTTTAAGACAAAAAACACTTGAAGTTAATAAGCAGAGACAACAGAATTCCTCGAATAGCTCGGTAAACTCCTATATTTTTAAAATACCTAAAATGTTATGGCACACACATTTGTTTCAAAATAAAGTGACGTCGGCCTCTCACAGGTCACCTGTCAAACTGCTGACAAGTGGGAACTCTGGGGTGCGTTCAGAAATGTAGGGTAAATGCGTCCGGACGTTTTCTAAATTCTAAAAAGCGTTCCTAAATATGGAACGTTTTATCTGGACGAATTACCCCAGCCGTTCCTATTTAAAAGAAAAACGCATCGGGATGAAGAAATTTTACCCATCGTGTTGAGCAGGGTAATTTTTACTCGATCTGCGCAGTATGTCATCATAACCCCACATATTTTGATTACTATACGAGGCAAGAGAGAGGTCCGACACGCCCAACATAGCGCGCGGCCATTTTGAACCCTGTGACACAGTTTACACCTAAAGAATCAGATCGCTCACTCTGCGTCGGCACTTTGGATCTCAATGGCTGCGTTCATCCGCGCCACATGCTACCTGATCGATCTGGTAGCGCTCTCGAGTGGCACGTATGAACGGTGTATTTTGACATTTCGCTCAAGGAGCGGCCGCCATTAAAAGTAGCGCATTTTATTTACGTCTGATCGGTGATCACTGATCTGTCTTATGTACTTACGTCCACGGTTTGCTTGGTGACTAGTAGGGTTATATTAGCATATTAGCAATTGAAAAATAAACAAACAAATCTTCAACCAGAGACATTCAACTCAAAAGTAAAATGAATAAACCAAAATCAAATGTCACTTTTAAACATGGTCATCCGTGCATAAAGATCGATCAGGTAGCGTAAGTGATCGCTACTTTTGTAGCGCTCCTTGAAATGGCGCGGATGAACGCAGCCATTGTTTCAGTTTATCACATACTTTGATTTTCTTTTACTATACGGAGAATGGTCGCACTGCGCAGCTTTCTGAGTGCCTTTTAAAAGGAGATAGAAAACTCCGCCATTTTGAACCCTTATTACGTGTTGCATACATCTTGGCGCAATATTTTTAATAGGTGCGTTTTAATCATCCGCTCCTGCTTCGAATTGTCGGTTTTCTTGTTTCAATCTGACAGGTTAAAACGACTAAACCGACAATTCCGGAAGCAGAAGCGGATGATTAAAACGCACCTGATATTTTGCTTGCTGCTGTCAGTGTAAAAGAAAATCAAAGTATGTGGTGTCAGTGAATATTATTTTTGAAGTCACAGTTTATTGCTAAAGAATCAGTTAGCTCACTCGGACCAGTTGAAAGTTCCAAAATAACATCCACTCCAGGAACGCGTTCAGGAAACACGCTCCGACCAAAAAGAGCGTGCTCAATTTGCTCTTGGTTTGTTCAGGAACAGTAGAGCGTTCAATTTGGACATTTAGCTACTCTCGTTCAGAAAGTCGAGTCAAATTAGTCTAGAGTGCACTCTTTTAATTATACCCAGTTTGGACTGGGTTCATTTGAGTAAATTTGACAGAACGTAAAGTTCTTTTGCAGAAGTTGTTGTTTCATATTATTTTTGTGTCATAAAGGAATTTTATAAGGTTAAATTTGTTTTAAAATAAATAATCTAAAATTTCTTGTCTTATTGACTTTATAGATCATTCATTATAATCTCTATTATAAATAGGGCTGTGAATAGGTATATATTGAAATAAAAAGAAAGAAAAACAGCTTAAAAATTTAAATGAGTAAAAAGTAAAACTATACGTGACACGAGTAACAATAACAACGGGAAGCGAGGAACATAAAACATATAAGGGAATAAAATGTCTATAAACAAATAACTGTAAAAAACTATAATTTTCAAATTCGTTGACGTTTACTCTCGTTGCCGTTCAGAAATTTTGGGCCAATGAGAATTACTCCAGAGTAGTCTGGGCAAACAATCTAAGAAAATTAGTCTACTCCCGTGTAAAGTCATCTGAACGCGCTCCAGGGGTAGTATTCTCGAGTCACGAATATAGATTCGCATGCGAGATTTATGATTTGTCTCACTTAGTTTTCGCTCAACAAAGTGAGACACATTGTAAAACACGTATGCGAATGTCGGTATTCGTGATTCGAGAATACTACCCCAGGGATACAAATTCAGGATACGCAGAAGACTGCTGTTTTATTATAGGCGATTGTCATATATTGTATTATCCGAGTTGCACAGTGTATAAACTGAAACATTGAGATCAAAAGTGCCGACGCAGAGTGAGCGATCTGATTCTTTAGCTGTAAACTGTGTCACAGGGTTCAAAATGGCCGCGCCCTATGTTGTGCGTGTCGGACCTCTCTCTTGCCTCGTATAGTAATCAAAGTATGTGCAGTTTATACACTGTGCAACTCGGATAATACAATATATGACAACCGCCTATAATAAAACAGCAGTCTTCTGCGTATCCTGAATTTGTATCCCTGGAGTGGCTGTTATTTTGGAACTTTCAACTGGTCCGAGTGAGCTAACTGATTCTTTAGCAATAAACTGTGACTTCAAAAATAATATTCACTGACACTGACAGCAGCAAGCAAAATATCAGGTGCGTTTTAATCATCCGCTTCTGCTTCCGGAATTGTCGGTTTAGTCGTTTTAACCTGTCAGATTAAAACAAGAAAACCGACAATTTCGAAGCAGAAGCGGATGATTAAAACGCACTTATTAAAAATATTGCGCCAAGATGTAGGCAACACGTAATAAGGGTTCAAAATGGCGGAGTTTTCTATCTCCTTTTAAAAGGCACTCAGAAAGCTGCGCAGTGCGACCATTCTCCGTATAGTAAAAGAAAATCAAAGTATGTGGGTATAGATTACAGTACCTATGATTACAGTATATCGCCAGATAAGGACCGATTCCAATGTTGTGTTAAACGAAGTTTAAAATGACATTTTTACATTAACAATGTCATTTTAATCTCCGTTTAACACAACGGTGGAATCGGCCCTAAGGTAACGTTAGTGGATGGTTAGCGGATGTTCGCTAAAACTCTCTAATTTCTACAATCTCAGATAACAGAAAAGACTATGCTGCGTTTGAGAATCCACATCGGATGCATTTTTTACATCTCGAGCGTTTTTTATCCACATCGGACACATCTGTCCCATTACATTTACGTATACTGAATCACGTGATCAAAGATTTTTTACATCTCAGATGCATCCGATGTGGATTCTCAAACGCAGCAATAACCAAAAACTTGATTTGACAATACTTTGCACTTAGCGTTCCTATTTATCGTGCAAAAATAAACGATCCGACGAATTTTGTCCGGACGATTGAAAATTTGACGCTCTTGATTTCTGAACGCACCCCCACAGACGTGAGCCAGAGACAGAAAGCTAATTCTGTCACTTGTGACTTCAACTTTAGATTATTTTATAGGGGAGAAATTTATCAATTTAGTTTAAAAACTAAAATTGTAAGTACCTTTTTGAGTTATTTTGAGAAAAATAATCCAAAAATATTTCAACTAAAAATGGTTTTTTCTTCATATTACATATTTTTTTTACTTTGTATATACATAGGTTAAGTGATAAAATTATGTAATAAGAAATTTAAGGTAGATCTTATTTTGTATTTTAGGAATATGGCTACAAGTTTTACACGGACCCCATTCTTGAGAGCCATTACGGTAAGTTCCACTATGTTTTTTTTCTAGGTTTGTCATTAATATTTTTTAGGCAAGAGGTTACTCTGTATCAGCTCTACCAGTTTCTGGTAATCCAAACGCCGAAGTAAAATGTACTACTCTTCCTAACAAGGTAGTAGTTGCTGCTGTTGATAATAATGCGAGCCTTACAAGAGTATCAATTGTATTTAGGTATAAAATTTTCTTTATTCACAAACTTTGCAATGTCACATTCGAAATAAGACTAATTTTACAATTTGTATGATTTAGATCAGGATCCAGAAATGAAGAAACTGACAACTTGGGTGTAACGCATGTTTTGAGAACTGCAGCAGGTTTAAGCACTAAAAATGCTTCACAATTTGCCATTATTCGTAATATTCAACAAGTTGGTGCTAATTTAACAGCTACTTCTGATCGTGAAACTATTACTTATACTTTAGAAGGTACTAAAGAAGCTGTTGAACGAGCTTTGCCATTTTTAACAGAAGTAGCCACTCAACAAGAATTTAGGCCATGGGAAGTTTCTGAATTATCAAACAGACTATTGTTGGATATTGCAACCAGGCCACTTCAGGTACACTAACCCTTCATCAGGGGTGTATACTTACGAAACGTGGTTAGTCGTGATGGGTCTGCCTGACCTATGAGTACTAAATGTCCGATTTTTGCTTTCAAAAAATGTTTACATTTTATTCTTTTTTCGATTTAACTTTCTTGTCTAGAGATTAAATATATTGTATAAGATAAGTACCAGATAATTTCTAATTACTTATAAAATGAAAGATAGATTTTTGTTTATTTTACTATTATTCAGATTCAAAGGCATTCTACATTGTTTTCTTCTAAGCATTTAAAACAAACAATTTTTAAGTGTTTATTCAAACACAAATATGCAGGAGATTATTCACGTTTGGTCAATCAGTTATAAAATAGGGGCACCTGACACACCTAATGACCATTTGCAATGCAATAAAAATAATTCTGTCCATAAAATTCAGGAAAACTATTTTTAGAAGATAGAACTACAATGTCAAAACAATAATAGTTTAAAAAAATAACTTAAAAATTATACACCATGGAGCTGACAGACCCATACTCGACTAACAAAGAGTAAAAAAAATAGTTGCACTGTTAGATTGGGTCTTGAAAGATTATATTTTTAGCTAAGGGCAGTTGATTTGCTGCACAATGCTGCTTTCAGAGGTCGTGGATTAGGCAATTCCCTCTTTATTCCTAAGCCACAAATTGGAAAAATATCTTCTGAAACCTTGCAGCACTATGTTGCCAGCAATTTTTTGAGTGGTCGCACTGCTGTTATAGGATCAGGAATCAGTGAAAGAGAGTTGGCACAGTATGCAAACTCCTTGAAAATTGGAAATGGTGAAGGTAATACTAGTCCCAGCCCTTACAAAGGTGGCGAACTTAGGTAAATATTATGTTTCATTTATCATTTTGAATATAAATCTCAGAACTTTAGCAAGTCAGTTTGTTAAGATTTTTCTTTTTTTTTTAGATCAAACAAAGGTGGACCACTTGCCTTTGTTGCTGTAGCAGGAGAAGGAACTGCTCTTAAAAACACCCAAGAAGCTCTTGCTTTTGCTGTCCTACAAAGAGCCATAGGTGCTGGACCACAAATTAAATATTGCACAGCTGACAATGGCATATTTAGCAAGGCTATTGGAAGTCCTGCAGATGTTAGTTCTGCTGCTATTAATGTCAGCTATTCTGACACTGGTCTATTTGGTATATTACTAGCTGCCCCTACCAAATCTGTTGGCAAAGTTGTTGAAACTGCTGTCAAGGTGTTGAAATCTGGTTGTGTTTCAGATGAAGATGTTAACAGAGGTAAACACAGTTTTTAAACCTTTAAAAAACATTTTGTAACCATAATTTAACTTATTTAGTTTATTTTTTTTTAAAATACTATTTACAATTTATTTATAACATACTAATTAATTTATATAATACTTGACACAATTCTAATTTATTTATTACAATTTGTCTTTACTGTTCAACACTTCATTTGAATCTCCTTTTCTATCGGCAAACTCGCGCTATTTATACAAAGCCAGCTCTGTACCAGTAGTTTCTAGGCGATCTCGAATGTCCAATAATTCTCTCTCTATGACTCAACGGCCACGTACCACTTTTTCTGGTAGTTTCTCGAAGCGGTGTGTTTGTCTCTATATGGCCAGCGCTAACTTCATACCGCGGGCAAGGCGTAAACAAAGCACAGGGTTGGCTTTGCGCGAAAATTTATTACCACTAATTTTTATAAAAAAAATTTTTTTTAGGTAAAAATCAACTAAAGACGGCTATACTTCTTGATAATGAGAGTGGAGCAGATATTGTAAGGAATACTGGAACACAAGCTGCTTTAACTCAAAGTGTATCATCTGCAAAGTCCCTTGTAGCTGCCGTAGAATCAGTTACTACCAGTGATGTTCAAAATGTAAGTACATTTTTTACTTGAACTTATTTTAGTTGATATATTTCTATCCTTGTCATAAATAAATACATTAATTTGCTGCGTTTGAGAATCCACATCGGATGCATTTTTTACATCTCGAGCGTTTTTTTATCCACATCGGACACATCTGTCCCATTACATTTACGTATACTGAATCACGTGATCAAAGATTTTTTACATCTCAGATGCATCCGATGTGGATTCTCAAACGCGGCAATTGTTGTCAGTCTCAAAACTTAGCAAAACTATAGTTAATAATTAATTACCTACTAGATTTAAAAAAAAAAATTAAACTATTATTCTCAAAATTAATCATTCAAATGTATAATTTGTATTTTAAGAAGCAGAACTGTTTGATTGCTCAATCATTCTTGTATCTTTTTTCAGGCCCTTAAGAAAGCTGGAAGAAACTTGTCATTAGCATCTATTGGAAATCTATCTGGAGTACCTTACTTAGATGAATTAAAATAAATTTTTTACTTGTACACTTATTTATTGTAATAAGATATTTATTTCAATTAGCATTATACTACATTATGCTGTTTAATAAACATTCTCTGTTAATATAAAGTACTATGTCATACAAGGTTTTTTTTTTTTTTTTTCATTTGGCACTGACCAACTTATTAAGTTCAATTTGGATATATCTGCATTTAAGCAGTACTAACTTCAGTAGTTAAATTTTAGATTATTCACTATAACTATTGCTGCGTTTGAGAATCCACATCGGATGCATCTGAGATGTAAAAAATCTTTGATCACGTGGTTCAGTATACGTAAATGTAATGGGACAGATGTGTCCGATGTGGATAAAAAAACGCTCGAGATGTAAAAAATGCATCCGATGTGGATTCTCAAACGCAGCATCTACATATGACAGTATACAACATCAAAAACTCTAGATCCATATGTAGATGGAACATCACAGGGTTCTGCAAAATTTCTGCTCAGGGTCTAGTTAATATCTGCCTATTTCTGAATGGCAAATATGTACATAGGATTTAATGGTTGTAACTCAAACCAATAAGAATACTCTTCATATAAGTAGTTTACCCATTTATGACTGAGCTAGTAAAAGGAAGGCCATTTATGCTCTGAGGTGACGAGGAAAATTCTACCTACAACCATCCACACGGTAGCTTACTGGAATTGAAATCACGATGACGTATCAACAGATATTAAATTAATAAAGAAAAACTGAATTTTTTTAGGTTCATATTTATAAACAGAACTTACCTGAGTCGGACTTGGGTAAGTCGTCCTTGAACTAAAATCGAAGTTCGGTTACAACCCCTCTAAAGTTCTAGGTGGTTCTGGTGTTAGACTGGAATTTAGAGATGGACATTAGCAAATCTGTAGCTATTATGTACATTTACGGATTTGTTACTACCCATCTCTAAATTCAAGCGATATAAACGAACTTCGATTTTCGTTCAAGGACGACTTACCCAAGTCCGACTCAGCTGAGCTTGGTTTATAAATACGGACCTTAGTGTTGAGACTGTTGAGGTACTGGAGAACCACCAAGCAAAATTTAATAAGAAAAATGTATTAGATCTTTTTCTAGATATTTTTATTTTTGATAGATTTGAGATTTTGCTCTCTCAAAAGTGAACTCACAATGATATAATCATGAATAATCATATATTTTTCAAAAATTGAATATCTCTATTTTTTCAAAACTAATTATTAATTGATTTTTGGTAATACAAAACAATAAATTAATATTACTTTCAATATATTACAAAAATAAATGGACAGTTATATAAAGTTAGATATGTTTAAAATATATAATTAAAATATAAACATAATAAATGCTTTGGTGAACAAAAATATATTAAATACAAACAACAATTAGAATACTCATGAATAATAAAATTATTATCACCCAATATACACAGGTTTTATCTTTTCTATCGACTACATCAATATGTCTAGTTTCGTTCCTTACATTTGTGTCTGTTCTGTCTATTTGAGTACCCAGATCGTCCAATATTTCTAAAAATAAAAAAATGTATTAAGAATAATTAAATAAAAACTAGAAGAATATAAGTTATTGAATTCTTACCATTGTGGTAATCCACTTCATTAGAAATAGTATGTGCTATATCCTTTTGCCTGGAAATGATTTTTGACAAATTTTCAAGACCCTGATCTTGTTCTGAAAAATAATACATATCAAATTGGCTTCAAAAACTTAGTTATAACCTAGTTATCAGAATCATGAAAGTTTATATTTTAATTAGCACATATATGACTTACCACCCAACATTCTTTTTTGAGTTTCTTTTAAATCATTAATTGAGTAACTGGTACTTGGAGCGATATCTAAATTTGCAGTGCCAATACCTATCAATTCTCTTCTATCTTCTAGTGACTTAACAGCAACCTGCTCATCAAACATTTTTTGCATTTGTATGCCCTTAGAATGTAATATTTCAATCTGCCTGGTTCTCCTTTCAGATTCAGCAGAAGTTCTGGTTTATTTTTTAAGGAAAAAATAAAATAGTGGAAATATAATGCTAACTAAAACATGTCTTTCAAGATTTACTGACTACTGAATTCTCTAGGTACCTACCAAAACATAAAATAAGCTGTTCAGGTGTACCTATATCAATTAAATGGAAACTGTTATTGAGTCAGCTTTGTTTACATTTTTGGAAAATGCAAAAAATCTGAAGGCTTGTTTCTACTTGTTTATTGTACACCAAGACCTAATAAAGAATATACTTGCCAAGACCACATTCTAATTGGAGTTTATATTATTAGGTACACCTTGAGCAATATTGTTTTTCCCCAGACTTGAGACCTCCAACTTAAAAACATTATTGATTTTTATATATACTATATAAATACCTACCAAATACATGAAAGGAGCACATTATATTGGGTATATTAGGATTTCTTGGAATTAATAACTAATAATAATAATAATAATAATAGTTTATTTGTCCTTTAGGATCATGTTACATGATATAGGATAAGTCATAATATATATGAATAAAAAATATTAAAATACAAATAAATATAGGTACAGTATACTATATATAGAAGTAGTAACTTGGGTTAACAAACTTGAACCACCATCACAAACCTGAACCAGTATATTGGTTCAAGTTTGTTTTGCTGTGTTAAATTATTTAATACCAACTCTATGCTTAAAGTGAAACTTGATTGTAATAGTTCCATAATAAAGGAATCTGTAAATTATGTTTTCAAATCTTCGCGCCCAACACATTGCCGGATATTCCCTCTTTTTTATTGGTTCAGGAATATACGAAACTCCAATATGTAGTTCAACAATTTGACGTTTGCGGCGCTTAGGTAGGTATTTGCGGTATATAATTATATATACGTATTGAAAGTAATTCCGTATCATCTTAAGCCAGTGAATGTGGCAACATTGCGTATTTACAAACATTTTATGTGCTTTCCGTTTTGTAGGAATCATTCAAAACAGAAGTAAGTCGAAAGAAACAAGTATAGTATATTACATTACGTGTGTGGAAAGTGACATTTTTCACACGAGTGGAAAATATTGTCACACGAGGCACAAGCCGAGTGCGACTATCACACCAGTGTGGAAAATTACTTTTCACACAAGTGATGTACAATATTTTTCCTACGACCACAAAATAATTTCATCAAAAAATGTAGAACCAGGTTATTATTATAATAATTAAAATGTATTTAAAAAAATAATCAACAATAATTGTATTTATGCAATTTTCATATTTTTCGAAACAAAAATTAAAAAACAAAAAAAAATTCTGCAACCACCAAGTTTTGAACGCGGGCCCGCGGACCCGTCGTGTAAGCCAAAGTTCAAATTGCAACTACCCTAAAACCTGAGCTAATAGGTCTTATGTCAAATGCATTTTTAATTCGATTTTAAGTTTAAACAGAATAAAAAGCCAAAATAATGAGATGTATGTAGTTATTTTAAAATTATTTTAATAATTGTTAAAAATAAATATCTAGGATCTAAGTTAATCGTCAATTTTAATAATTTAATCATAATATCGATTTTAGTATTAATATGGACATTACATAGATCAAAATAGAAATGATGTGTTTGACATTTTGTGACAGCTGCTGCGGAAAGTTGCATATTCGTACACGGGTGGAAAGTAAATTCCTATTCATACGCGTGTGATATAGGGCACTTTCCATAGGACTATATAGTGTGATATGTGTCACTTAAAAAATATTTTCATTTAGTTATTTTTCATAAAAAGGTCGAAATGGTCTGAAACCTAAAATGCAACTATGATATATTAAATTTTTACAGTAGTATACGAGATATGTCAAATAGGTAATTTTGCTGAAGAGTAAAATATCTTTATTTTTGACAAACCTCGTATACGACTGATAAAATTTGATATCTGATGGTAGTATTTTAGGTTTGACACCATCCTCGTCTTACTATATGCAGAAACCTTTTTTATTACTAATTTTATGAAAAAAGTTATTTTTCATAAAAAGTCGAGCATGGTCTAAAACGTAAAATGCAACCATCAAATATCAAATTTTATCAGTCGTATACGTGATTTATCAAAAATAAAGGTACTTTATTTTACAGCTAAATTCATATTATTTGATATATCTCGTATACTATTGTAAAAATATATCTGATAGTTGCAGAACTTTTTGTGAAGAAAAACTTTTTTCATAAAGTTAATAATAAAAAAGTTTCCCATATGCTGCGAACTTAAGTGGACACACTGTATATGCTTGAACTTTTGTAAATACTCGACTGTTAATTTCGACGTATTTGTGTTTGGGGACTTACCGCCGCTGACTTGACATGTAAGAACTAAAAGCTGCGTATCTTACCTATTTCAAAAATAATATTGTTTTATTTCCAAATATTGTCCATATCTTAAAGTGGTCCAAAGTAGATTAAGAAGAAATGAGAGGACCAGAGATCTTATTGGTTAATTTGGGTTGGATTCCTTGTTAAAAAATCTCATTAATAGATTTTTTTATATTTAGACAACTAATCATGCAGGCTGTTCAAAAATAAGGTTTAAATAAGATTGAGAAAACTACAAAAAAAAATGTTTTTATGGAAATTCACATTTTTCTCATTTTATAGTATTTAGTATCGAAAATAAAGTATGGAAAATAAGGTTGTCTACAAGATGGTCCGTTAACAATGGGACACAGAACATCTATAAATTCCTTGCATAAAAATCTTGCGATATAAAAATTTACCTTTGTTCAATTCTGGATATTGAAGATATAAGGTGTTAAAGTAGATACTTAATAAAATGAAGTGTCAAATATTTCAATCAAAAATACTGATATAAATGTATCTATTTTAACACTATGTATATTCTTTAATATCAAAAATTGAACTAAGGTAAATTGTGTTATATCGCAATACTTTTATAAAGTAGCTCTGAATCTCATTATTAACGGACCACCCTGTAGACGACTTTATACAAGGTTACCTTTATTTTAGATGCTAAATACTACAAAATAAGAAAAATGGGTTGTTCCATTTGAAAAATCGATTTTTGGCAGTTTTCTTAATCTCATTTTAAACCTTAAACCCAAGGAATTAAACCCGAAGTAGATATAAGGACTTCTTTATAGGACTAACTGATAATTGTATGAGGGCTTACCAACATCATTTTTGATGTAAAAACTAAAATATATATATATATATATATATATATATATATATATATATATATATATATATATATATATATATATATATATTTACATCTTTCTATCAATCTCAAGTCAATTGGAGATTCTATCAAACCTGAACCACCCAAAAATAATAAAGTTGGATAAGTATATTTAATGTATATTGGAAAAAGAGGGTTTCTTTATCTGTAATGTGAAATGTATACTCTGAATATTTCATTAAAAAAATTTAATTTTTCTAAAGATTTTACTGGATCAGTGCAATCCTGAACCATTAGAAGACTGATACAATCTTGAACCATTTTATACAGTTTTGTTCACACTAATCATACAATTCTGAACCTTCGCTCAGTTGCCAAATGTAAATTAAGTATGAAATCTACGATTTAGTGATACGAGAATAATCATAAAATTTAACTGTTTATATAATTCTAAACTCTGAATTGAAATTTAAAATAATTTAAGTTGGATTATGTATCACTCTTGTGGCTAGGGCAGTTTGGGTCGAGATATTAAGAGCAAACTAGATATATGGATGTATTTTCTCATAAATTGGAAATCCGATAAAAAAAACTTTTTAAATAAAATATTTACAATCTACAATTTTTTTCCTTACCTTTGCAATTAAAGAAAATTAACAGGTGAGATAAAACATTAATTTTTGACATTTTACAATAAACCAGATTTACAACGCTTTCCTATAAAAATCTTACCCCCCACCATCCCATAGAGGGAGAGTGGGGGTGGCATTCCCAAAATATTAGGTTAAAACTTTTTAAATAAAACAGTTTGAATTCCAAAATTTGGTCAAAATGATAGGGGTAAATTTTTATAAAAAAAGTTGAAACTTATGTCTTTTACAAATGTACCAAAAATAAGAGTTTTATCTCCTCTGTGATGATTTTTATAAATAATATCAAGTTGTTTGTTGCCGTTCATTCTGATTTTATTTTATTTGGAATCATACCACATATGGCTGACAATTTAAAAACTTACAAAAACTTATATCTCATGAACTGGATGTAGGAAAAAAAATAAAATCTGGGAACTTGCAAGATGTCTTGGGGCTCATTTAGCTATTCCTATTGACCGGAAATAGATAAGTCGCTTATTTTAAATACGGCATCCTATTACAAATTTGAATTTTACTTCAGATTCTGGGCAGGTTTTATGTATCATATCATATGCCTAAGTCAGAGCGATTTTACATATTTTAGTTTTTATATCAAAAATGACGTTGGTAAGCCCTCATATAATTATCAGTTAGTCCCATAAAGAAGTCCTTATATCTACTTCGGGTTGGATTCCTTGGGATTAAGGTTTAAAATGAGATTAAGAAAACTGCCAAAAATCGATTTTTCAAATGGAACAACCCATTTTTCTTATTTTGTAGTATTTAGCATCTAAAATAAAGGTAACCTTGTATAAAGTCGTCTACAGGGTGGTCCGTTAATAATGAGATTCAGAGCTACTTTATAAAAGTATTGCGATATAACACAATTTACCTTAGTTCAATTTTTGATATTAAAGAATATACATGGTGTTAAAATAGATACATTTATATATCAGTATTTTTGATTGAAATATTTGACGCCAAATAATAACAGTGGACACTTCATTTTATTAAGTATCTACTTTAACACCTTGTAATATCTTCAATATCCAGAATTGAACGAAGGTAAATTTTTATATCGCAAGATTTTTATGCAAGGAATTTATAGATGTTCTGTGTCCCATTGTTAACGGACCATCTTGTAGACAACCTTATTTTCCATACTTTATTTTCGATACTAAATACTATAAAATGAGAAAAATGTGGATTTCCATAAAAAAAATTTTTTTGTAGTTTTCTCAGTCTTATTTTTGAACAGCCTGCATGATTATTTGTCTAAATATAAAAAAAATCTATTAATTAGATTTTTTTTTAACAAGGAATCCAACCCAAATTAACCAATAAGATCTCTGGTCCTCTCATTTCTTCTTAATCTACTTTAGACCACTTTAAGATATGAACAATATTTGGAAATAAAACAATATTATTTTTGAAATAGGTAAGATACGCAGCTTTTAGTTCTTACATGTCAAGTCAGCGGCGGTAAGTCCCCAAACACAAATACGTCGAAATTAACAGTCGGGTTTTACAAAAGTTCAAGCATATACAGTGTGTCCACTTAAGTTCGCAGCATATGGGAAACTTTTTTATTATTAACTTTATGAAAAAAGTTTTTCTTCCCAAAAAGTTCTGCAACTATCAGATATATTTTTACAATAGTATACGAGATATATCAAATAATATGAATTTAGCTGTAAAATAAAGTACCTTTATTTTTGATAAATCACGTATACGACTGATAAAATTTGATATGTGATGGTTGCATTTTACGTTTTAGACCATGCTCGACTTTTTATGAAAAATAACTTTTTTCATAAAATTAGTAATAAAAAAGGTTTCTGCATATAGTAAAACGAGGATGGTCTCGAACCTAAAATACTACTATCAGATATCAAATTTTATCAGTCGTATACGAGGTTTGTCAAAAATAAAGATATTTTACTCTTCAGCAAAATTACCTATTTGACATATCTCGTATACTATTGTAAAAATTTAAAATATCATGGTTGCATTTTAGGTTTCAGACCATTTCGACCTTTTTATGAAAAATAACTAAATGAAAATATTTTTTCCTTCGACCACTTAGGAAAGTGACACATACAACACTATATAGTCCTATGGAAAGTGCCCTATATCACACGCGTATGAATAAGAATTTACTTTCCACCCGTGTACGAATATGCTACTTTCCGCAGCAGCTGTCACAAAATGTCAAACATCATGTTTCTATGTAATGTCCATATTAATACTAAAATCGATATTATGATTAAATTATTAAAATTAACTATTAACTTAGATCCTAGATATTTATTTTTAACAATTATTAAAATAATTTTAAAATAACTACATACATCTCATTATTTTGGCTTTTTATTCTGTTTAAACTTAAAATCGAATTAAAAATGCATTTGACATAAGACCTATTAGCTCAGGTTTTAGGGTAGTTATTTTGTGGTCGTAGGAAAAATATTGTACATCACTTGTGTGAAAAGTGATTTTCCACACTGGTGTGATAGTCGCACTCGGCTTGTGCCTCGTGCGACAATATTTTCGACTCGTGTGAAAAATGGCACTTTCCACACACGTAAGTGTATACTATACTTGTTTCTTTCGACTTACTTCTGTTTTAAATTATTCCTACAAAACGGAAAGCACATAAAATGTTTGTAAATATGCAATGTTGCCACATTCACTGGCTCAAGATGATACGGAATTACTTTCAATACGTATATATAATTATATACAGCAAATACCTACCTAAGCGCCGCAAACGTCAAATTGTTGAACTACATATTGGAGTTTCGTATATTCCTGAACCAATAAAAAAGGGGGAATATCCGGCAATGTGTTGGGCGCGAAGATTTGAAAACATAATTTACAGATTCCTGTAATATGGAACTATTACAATCAAGTTTCACTTTAAGCATAGAGTGGGTATTAAATAATTTAACACAGCAAAACAAACTTGAACCAATATACTGGTTCAGGTTTGTGATGGTGGTTCAAGTTTGTTAACCCAAGTTACTACTTCTGGTTCAGGTTTGGATGGTTACCGTAAATATCTAAGACATGCACATTAAAAATATACAATTACATTAGATATTTGGCTATCCCAACCCATATTGCTATCAATATGTATGCCCAAAAATTTTGTAACATCTGAGAGCATAATTTCTGCATTATTGACATTTACTTTACAATTCTGGGTAATTTGATTTCTGGAGTAGAACTGAAGGCAAACGGTTTTGTTTGAATTAACAATTAAAGAATTTCTATAACACCATGATGTAAACTCATTAGATAAAACATTTAATTTACTAATTAATTCATCTACTGATTGTGCGTTGGTGGCAATTGTTGTGTCATCTGCATATAAAATTATGTTTTCTGAGTTAATATGATTAGGCATATCATTTATGTAGCATAGAAAAATTAGAGGTCCTAAAATTGATCCCTGAGGCACACCCATATAAACACTTTCTAGTTCAGATTTACAATTTCCAACTTTGACATAGATCTGTCTGTTATTTATATAAGATGACAACCAAGACAAAAAGTTACCTCTAAAACCAAGCCCTTCCAATTTTTGAATAGCGACATCTAAGTTGATTGAATCAAACGCCTTTGACAAATCAAAGAAAAGCGCACCCACAAACAACTTTTGATCAATAGAAGTATGTATGAAATTAAAAAGATCTACTGCTGCACTTTCAGTAGATTTTTCTGGAAGGAATCCATTTTGATTTTTGCATATTATTTCATATTTTTTAAGAAATATTAGCATTTTTTTGTGGACACACTTTTCAAAGATTTTGCTTAAAATTGTAGGCACTGTAATAGGTCTATAATTATCAATTAAATTATTATCACCTTTTTTAAAGATAGGAGTTACATATCCTACTTTCAGATAATCTGGGAAAATACCTAGCTGAATAGACTGATTGATTAAGTCTGCTAAAATTTGAGAGATGTGATGACTAATACGTTTTATTATCTTTGTGGAAATGCAGTCAATGCCCATAGAGTTAACATTTTTTAATGAGTGAATAACTTCAATTACATCACGATGATCAACAGGAGAGAAGTAAAAGGTCTGAGAGACACATTTAAAATTCAAATCATTGAAATGAGACTGTAGTGCTTTTTTTTGTGGAGGTGGCAAAATGCTCTGCAAAAACTTTAGCTATTTGTTTTGGTTCAATAATTGACAGTCCTCCTACTTCAATTTGTTTAATTTGAGAACCTTTTGATGTTTTACCATCTTGGTGATTTCCATATTTTTGTTTTTGCTGAAAAGTTTTATTTTGCAATCCCTTTTGAAAATGAGATTTTTTTGCTCCATTTATATTATTGACATATTGTCTCTTTGCTTCTTTGTATCTAATATGTATATTCACATCATTAGAATTTTTTACTAACCAAAATAAATTCCTTATATCAGCTCCCATCCTCAAAATATCTGGAGTTATCCAGTTATTTTTTTTATTTGTCTTTACAGCTCTTGTAACAACCGGACAATTTACTTCTATATAGTAATTTAGAATATTTAAGAATGTTTCATAGGCAAGATTTATGTTATCAAAATATTCATACACAGAATCAAAATTTTCAGAACTTATTTTTTGCTGCAGATTAAGTAAATTCGCCTCTGATAAGTCTCTAAAATGTATTTTTTCATTGATATCAGTTACATAACATTTTTCCTTTATATAATTTAATGACACGTCAATTGCTAGGTGATCTCCAATACAGAGGTCTACCACGGTTTCCGTATATGTAGAAAGGTAGTTTGTGAGAAAATAATCAATTTTAGTACGCGACGTTTTACCGATTTTGTCAGTACAAATTCTAGTTGGTTCTCTATTTAAACAACGCAAGTTAAAACACTCCATCAAATCAACTAATAAAACTTTTTCTTGTGAATCTTTTATAAAATCAATATTGAAATCTCCACAAATGATGATACATTTGAAATGACTATAACAATAATTAAGAAGCATACACATCTTATTAAAAAACGTATCAAGATTACCCTTTGGGGTAACTAACAACTAGGGTTGTCAACAATGCAGGAGAATACACAAGTATTAAAAATTTAAAAAAACTGACTTCAAAAACGTGCAGATGCCATCACATCTTAATTACATTTATATGGGACCACCCCTGAGGTACCCCTTACTAACAAAAAAAGAATCATAAATCGGACAAGGTGGTAAAGCATTTTCGCTAAACATACATAAAAAATGAAGAGTTTGAGGATTTTCTCATGGACTCAAATATTAGATTTTGACCAAATTTATATGGGACCACCCCTGAAGTACCCCCTTTCTAACAAAAAAAGAATCATTAAAATCGGACACCGTGTTAAAGAATTATCGCTGTACATAAAAAAAAAAATTGCGACTCATTGAGAACCTCCTCTTTTTTTGAAGTCGGTTAACAAAAAGGGTATTTTTCCTGTTCTTAACTTGTTTCCAGTTTAGAGCTATGTGCTGCTTTATTTCAGATTCGCAGCCCTTTCCTGAAGAATTTTAATACAAACCTGGGGCCTGGAAAACGATCGATCACCAAACTCAGAGGCTCCAGGTTAAAATGACTGTTGACAGCACTACTAACAACTGAGTAATTCCAAGAAAACCTAGTACATAAAACATTTTTATTTTAAAGGATACATACTACTTGATTTACTTGTAACATCTAATTTTTGATTCAACTGGCTCACTTCATTATTGTACTGCTTTAATCTTAATCGTATATTTGCTGAGAGTTGTGAATATTTGTCACTATTTCTTGGATGTTTCTGTCTGATAGTTAATTGCTCCATAATATCTCGATGTAGTTTTTCACAAGAGTCATGTTCAAGGAGCCTATAAAGGTTTAATTAGTAAGTATATCCACCTACTAAATATTAAATTCTTGCTAAAATGTAATTACTTACCAAGGATCTTCTTCAAGAAATAACAAAGCCATTTTTAGAAGTTACGCAGTTTTTGAATTAGTTATGTTTATAAGCATTATCAGCAAGAGCATCAAATAATAATTTGTTACCGTAAATATTTATAGAGAAATTTTTTTCTGTCGTAAAATTAAAATTCATAACTGAAGTAACTAAAGAGTTGAAGACCATAGACAGAGACCCATACAGTGTTGCCAGACTTCAAAAAGAGAATTATCGCATAAACCGTTTAAAATTATCGTACATTATCGTACAAAATAACGATACTTATTAAAAAAAGTTTTTTAATATAATTTAAAAAAAAGAGTAATTAAAAGAGAAAGAAAAATATTTTATTTTTTTTTATCTTTATATTAAATAAAAACATCGAACTTTCTTTAAACATAAAATAATAATTGTCTTTGTACTAAAAGGATAAAAGCTAAAACAAATAAAAATAAAAGAAAACAAAAACGTTTAAATTTCATCAAAAGTGATGTCATCAAATTGCATCTCATATCGTTTTGGAAATTCTGGTTCTGGTAGAGTTTGGCAGACGTCATGCTTCTTAAACATTTTGTCACTGGGTTTAAAATTCAAACAGTCTTGTTCTAGCTAGATGGACCTGCTGAGACGATAACATTTGTCCATTTACCGTATCAGTTATTAATCTGTTTCTTCATTTGGTTTTTATTAAATTTACCTTTGAAAATTGTCTTTCACAACTGGCACTTGAATGTGATAGTGTGAGAACACTTAAAACAAAATTACACAAATCTGGAAATATAAGTTCTCCATTATAGTATGTTGCTTGACTTACTTTATGAAAAAACTCGATTTCCGTGGATTCCGGTAAATCCTCAAAGTGTTTTAATTTTCTCCACTGGTCGTCAATTTTTTGTAGTTGCGTGGTGTTTTGGGGATCACAAATTTGTGGTAAAGATGTTATTAGCGGTAAAAGTATAGCCTCATTGCCTTTTTTTATATTCTGGATATTTAAAATGGAAAGCTTACTTAAGTCGACAAATTTGGGAAGAACCCATTCCAAAAAAATATAAAACAATCAAAATTTTAATATCAGTTTACCATTTAGACTTGTCATTAACCATAAAAATATATTAAGCAAAATTAAAAATATAGTGGGTTGTGATGAATACATCATTACATAGGTTTTCGCATTAGTTTCTTTTTCTAAATGTAAATTATCGTATAAAATGCCATTATCGCATAGCTACTATCGTACATCGTACGTTCGTTAAATTTATCGTACAAAATCGATAATTATCGTACATCTGACAACACTGGACCCATAGCAGAGACAAAAGGTCTGTTCTGGTTTTGAGAAATAACGATCCACAACTGTCGGGCTCATGCGCAGTAGATAAAAAGTGTTCTGGTTTTTCTGGGACTACTTCGGATCTCTCAGTCCAGTGTTCTGGTTTCGTATCCGAAATAATCCGTGATTGTTGTAAACAGTCAAAATGTGTTCATGCTTAGGAGTGTGGATCGACTCGGACTGTTTTGATCGCGCATGCGTTTTTGAAGTGTTATGAATATTGTATTGGCTTTTTAGACCATACGGAACGAATGCAATCCCAAATTGTTTATTTATATGTGGACGAATGTCTCTTGTTCTTGTTTTATTTGTAAATTAAAGCAATTTTAGAATTATTAATTTTTTAATATTATTCTGTTTTTATTTATTCCATTGAAATGTGATGATAATAATAAACATATACATGCAAATGTTATTTGAAGCTGAGCTTTCAAAAGGAACTTCATTATTATAATAAACAATAAACAAAACACCTTTATGTGTTCTGGTTTTCCAACAATTTCAAACAGTCGGGGATTTTTTGCCTTTACGCATATGGTCCGGCGCAGTTTCAAAACAGTTTTCATTTTGAGAACCAGAACAAACCTTAGGGTAAGTTCGGTTTGGCATTCGCTGTACTCAGAGTGCACTCGGTATGCCTCGATTGTGGTCGCCTTGGCACTCAGAGCGTACTCTTTTGTGTTCGGCTTGCCACAGATCACGTACTCAGAGCGCGCTCACTCTTCCCCGAGTTGGCCGATGGAGATCAGGGGGTCGATTCTCGACTTGTAGGAACTTTTTCCTATAGGAATTTGTGACACTTTCCTATATGTAGGAAACTGTCATAAATTTTCGATGTATATAAAAATGTCAAAAATTCCTATTAGGCATTCCAAACAAATGAATTACCAGTGGGCAGGTTTGGTATATCTAAGGGTGGCGACATATGGTGTATTCTATCTACTTTACGTAAAATCATGATTAATGGATTACATTTAAATATTTTATGTCAAACACAATAAAAATAATATTTAAAAAACCTACCTATACATTTCTTCATAAATTGGCAGGCTTGGCGAGTACTACTTCGAATAAAAATAGCGTCCAAGTTGCAAGACTATGTCGCTACCCCCTTAAATATACAAGAATTTCCCACTGGCACCTATTGTTTGACAGGTCGTTGGAATGCCTAATAGGAAAATATTCCTACGAGTCGAGAATCGACCCCCAGCGAGTATCTGTAGGAATTTGTCAAAAATGTCAAATGTCAATAGGCTTGACAAAATAAGCGATACGCCACCTACAGTTTTAATTTGAAACCTTCCAGTGGGCCATTAATTTGCTGCGTTTGAGAATCCACATCGGATGCATTTTTTACATCTCGAGCGTTTTTTTATCCACATCGGACACATCTGTCCCATTACATTTACGTATACTGAACCACGTGATCAAAGATTTTTTACATCTCAGATGCATCCGATGTGGATTCTCAAACGCAGCAAAAGTTTGTTCTGTGATTAATGTTTTGTTTACTCATGTGATTCAAGCATAATATAGGTTAATCTTACGGTTTCTGTTTGTATATGGTGTTTTAAAGACGTTTAATTGATAAAATTATTGTTTATTTTATCAAAATGAACCATCACTGTTGTGTTCCTCTTGGGTAAAACTAAATAAAGAACTTAGTTTTCATACATTTCCCAAAAAAGGACAACGTGTTTTGGTAGAAACAAAATTAGGGAAACGAGAAGCTGTTGATCGGAGGGAGGAATGGATAAGAAAATTAAAAATTGGAAAGCCTGTGAGTCCGTACATGAGAGTATGTTCATTGCATTTCTCTGAAAACGATTATTTTTATAGAGGTTAGTATTTAGTCGTTTTTTGTGTTTCCGTATTAATAGTTTTTGTTTGTAGGGGACAGCTCTAAATTACATAGATTAAAATTTAATGCAGTACCGTCTAGGAAGTTACCTTTGGAAGATAAAATAGTATTATGTATTTAGGTTATGGGTTAATGTAATATAAGGTAAACATACTTTTGCTAAATAAATACACTGCCACTATCTATAAAAATGTTTAATTAATACATATATAACCAACACTAAAACTAACAAAATCCTTTACACACATTAAAAACGAAAAATTCAACACCTAATCTTACGAAAAACCTATGGCATGTCATATGAAAACAAATGTAAACAATGGCCCAGCGGAGGACGAAAAAGTGACCGGTAGAGGCGCTGGAGTCTAAGCTTTTTTCGCCTATTTTCTGATCGGTGATTAATCAGTTTTACACGTAATATTTCTTGTTTGTTTCTGTTATAACTATATTCTATTTGATTAAAATTATTTTTTTACAGTCCATATGCTGCGTTTGAGAATCCACATCGGATGCATCTGAGATGTAAAAAATCTTTGATCACGTGATGCAGTATACGTAAATGTAATGGGACAGATGTGTCCGATGTGGATAAAAAAACGCTCGAGATGTAAAAAATGCATCCGATGTGGATTCTCAAACGCAGCATCAGACACACACAAAAGTGTATTCAAGTGCAAACTATCACTAGTGTCATATGTCATTCCCCTTGTGTTCGTCTTGAGATTCTAAAAAGAGTGAACTCTGTCTATGACGTCACGCACTCCGTGCGCGCTCTGTGCGATCCGTCGAGTTCCAAACCGAACTTACCCAAAAGAGACCACAGCGAATGACCCGGAGCGGAGCAAGAGAGAGGTTCGACCATAGATAAATTAATAAATGTTATTTAGGATGTTATTTTAGAACTTTCAACTGGCCCTAGTGAGCTAACTGATTCTTTAGCAATAAACTGTGACTCCAAAAATAATATTCACTGACACTGACAGCAGCAAGCAAAATATCAGGTGCGTTTTAATCATCCGCTTCTGCTTCCGGAATTGTCGGTTTAGTCGTTTTAACCTGTCAGATTAAAACAAGAAAACCGACAATTCCGAAGCAGTAGCGGATGATTAAAACGCACCTATTAAAAATATTGCGCCAAGATGTAGGCAACACGTAATAAGGGTTCAAAATGGCGGAGTTTTCTATCTCCTTTTAAAAGGCACTCAGAAAGCTGCGCAGTGCGACCATTCTCTGTATAGTAAAAGAAAATCAAAGTATTTGCCCGGAATCACATACTTTGATTACTATACGGGACAAGAGAGAGGTCCGACACGCCCAACATAAAGCGCGGCCATTTTGAACCCTATGACACAGTTTATAGTTAAAGAATCAGATCACTCACTCTGTGTCGGCACTTTTTATCTCAATGTTCCAGTTTATACACTGCGCAACTCAGATAATACAATATATGACAACCGCCTATAATAAAACAGCAGTCTTCTGCGTATCCTGAATTTGTATCCCTGGAGTGGATGTTATTTTGGAACTTTCAACTGGTCTGAGTGAGCTAACTGATTCTTTAGCAATAAACTGTGACTCCAAAAATAATAGTCGTTTTCTTTTTGCAACTAATCTGAGCTAACTTACATCGACTAAGCTGAGATGTACGTTCTTTTTATGATTGTAAGTCAGAATCTTTCTTCCCCCCCCCCCTTTCCGATGCTAAGGTGCACGGTACTTGACGTCAACCATAAACCATCACAGAAAGTGAGTGTTCTGTGCATCATATGAACAAACATATCCCATGAATTCATTATTTTAGAGAGAATAACAGACTATGATAACAGGGGGTGAGATTTGTAGTGTTGAATGTTGAAAAAATTATAAAATTTGATTAAAATATGAGGTCTTTTGCTTTGCATCGACAGTGTAGCACTGAGTTACGTTACTTCTGAAAATGTCGTTCCATCCATACAATTTGTATAAATGGAACGATATTTTCAGAAGTGGTGTAGATCAGTGCTACACTTTCGATGCAA